AAACAGTGCCCTGTGACCGCGCACAGGCAGGGTTTAACGACTGTTCTGTATCGCTCCTCGGAGCAAACGAGCTTCCCTCGGGAAACCACTCGCTAGGACCGTCTGCGCCCACCCTCACAGGCAGGTTCAGCAGAACGGGTCCCTGCAGACCCCCCTGGTGGTTTATGTAAGAGACCACAGACATGTTGTCTGACCGGACAAGAACATGATGATCTCTGAGGTCTGGGAGAAAGTGTTTCAGAGCCTGAAACACCGCCATCATCTCTAGACAATTTATATGCCATCAGAGATGATGGTCTTGCCACAACCCGCGGGCCGAGCGACCACTCATGATCGCTCCCCAGCCCGTGAGAGAGGCATCCGTCGTCACCGATACCCGGCGACACGGGGCTCCCAGCGCAGGTCCCAGGGACAGGAACCAAGGTTCTTTCCACATAGCCAGGGCACGGAGACCACGTCGCGTGACCTTGATCTTGCGGAGCGGCTTTCCCCTCGGGGAGAACCCCTTGGTCCTGAGCCACCACTGTAGTGGTCTCATGTACAGCAGGCCGCACGGTAACACGTTGGATGCTGCTGCCATCAGACCCAGAATTCTCTGGAATTCCTTTACAGTGAGTGACTGGCCTAGCTTCACTTGCTTGACAGTCGAGATAATCGAGGCTATACAAGCCGGCGACAGACGCGCCTGCATCGTCGTCGAATCCCATACCACGCCTAGAAAAGTGGTCCGCTGAACTGGCGAAAGCACACTCTTCTTAGCGTTGAGTCTCAACCCCAACCTTCTGATGTGGGCGAGGACGGCATCTCGATGCCGAATCGCCTGATGCTCCGATTGAGCCAGAATCAACCAATCGTCGATGTAATTTAAAATGCGAATGCCCTGGAGACGCAGCGGGCCAAGGCCGCGTCCATGCATTTCGTGAAGATTCGAGGAGATAACGCTAGGCCGAATGGAAGGACCCGATATTGGTACGCTTCGCCCCAAAAAGCGAACCTCAGGAACTTCCGATGTTGCGGAAGGATGGAGATATGGAAGTACGCGTCTTTTTTTAGGTCTATCGTGACAAACCAGTCCTCGGACCTGATCTGTGACACGATCTGCTTGAGAGTCAGCATTTAGAACTTGAGCTTCCCTATTGACCGATTTAAGAGGCGCAGGTCTAAAATCGGACGCAGCCGCCCATCCTTCTTTGGAACAATGAAGTACCGGCTGTAATACCCCAGCTCTCTGTCGGGAGGAAGAACTCGTTCTATCGCCCCCTTCAGTAGCAGAGCTTTCACTTCTTGTTCCATAACCAGAGCCTGCTCGGGGGTCACCACTGTGGGCAAAACCCCCCGGAAACGAGGTGGACGCGACCTGAACTGGATCGCGTACCCGCGTTCGATAGTCTGCAGGACCCAACGAGATATATTTGGAAGACTTCCCCATTCTACCAGAAATTCTACTAAGGGTACCAGTCTCTCGAGACTGGCCTCTGGAGTAGTTTTTAAAAACAGAAACAGCGCCCTGTGACCGTGCACAGGCAGGGTTTAACGACCGTTCTGTATCGCTCCTCGGAGCAAACGAGCGTCCCTCGGGAAATCGCTCGCTGGGACCGTCTGCACCCCCCATTACAGGCAGGGTTGGCAGAACGAACCCCTGAGGGCACCGAGAGAGAGCGGGCGCCGGATTCAGCGGCGAACACCTCTGTCTCACGGTGGGGACCACCCTCAGTAGCCTGACACCAGTGGCGTCAGGACTTCTTCGACGAAGCCTTCCTGGCGACAATAACCGTCCTCAGATCGGTTCTATCCCGGGAAGACCTCGTCTGAGAACGCCGCGTCTCAGCCCAGTTTTGCTGGGGAGGAGCCCGAGACGCGACGCTCTCTCGACGGGCGGGGCTGCTCTCGCCCAGCAGCCCCCGAAGGATGAGTACGGAGGGGGAGACATTTCTGGAGCGGCGCATCCAGGAGAAACGCTTTATCTTTCTCCTTCATATTAGCCAGATTTAGCCACAGATGCCTCTCCGTGGCCACCAGGGCTGCCATAGAGCGGCCGACTGATCTGGCCGTCTCCTTGGTGGCACGGAGAGAAATATCTGCCGCCTGACGCAGTATCTCATTAATCACGTCAGTGCCGACGACCTCCCCCTCACTCATATCTCCTAGACCCAGCAATATTAGCATACATAGAGGTCTGGTGTGTCAAAATTCTAGCTGACACTGGTTTGTTCCACGATCTACACACCTCGGTGTGTAGATCGGGGAAGAAGCAAACCCCGGCATGGAGGTAGTGTGTGTGATATTAAAAATCTCCCAAACAAACAACACACAGATCGTGTGTATCCCCACCCGTGATGAAGCGAGGGCAGGGATGAACACACTTTCTGAAATTCTGCTGTTGTTTGCTCGCCATATCAATATATATAAATATACAATATTAGACAGACAGACAAAATTCATACATAGAGCGCTTGTGAAGACTCAGAAGCTGTTGCGCTTGTGTTTCGGGGATGCTTTATAGTTTCCTGGTCGATACGTCACCCCGCCTATGACGTTCCGTCTCGCCATTGGACAGATTTCATACGTGCTTCATGACTCGTCACGCAGAGGCGTTCCCACGGCGTTTACACGCAGCTCGAAGTTCCCTGAATGGGAACCAAACTTAATCTAATATTTGGGAAATCATGTAAAACTGTAGAAGACTATTATTGATGTAAAATTGTAAATGTCTTTGTAATTTCTTGTAGAAAACTATTTTTTTATTATCTAACATGTTTCAGGCAGACAGGTCTAAAGTATTAGGCAGAGGAAGCAAACAGAGACTCTGCTGTCTGACCCAAAATTTAGCAAACAAAAACACTTGCCAGCCGAAACTGCACAAACACACCCTCCACACCAAGTCTCTACTGTCTGTACTGTCAAAGAAGTGCATTTATACTTGCCTTTCAGACAACTGTCCATTGAAAAGGGGTTGATCCACTTCCATGTACATCACTACCATGGAAAGGAAAAAATCAAACAAACAGTTGTTTCTCTATCCTATACAGTACTCCTAAGGCTTTTACTATATAAAATGACCCATGAGGAAAAAAAAAATAATAATTATCTCGCTCTTCACCTTATTGGTTCCTAGGATTTTGTTTAACAAATGCACATTTTGTTTCTCATTTTGTTTTTGAGTCTCATGCCAGTAAACTAGCAAACACTAGTAGCAAATCAATTTCGTAAGCTGCATACCCATGAAGGCCATGGATGAGCAGAGTGTACTGTCTCTTGGCACAGAAGTAGAAAAGGCTTTTCTCTTCAAAGCAGATTAATTGTTTAAGGCTTTAGGATCAGAATCCAGGAATGCCTCAGAAGTTGGGATCTTATTTCATTTCTTTTAAAAGTGTTTTTTAAAAACAATTTCTGTAGTTGGTGTATACAACCTTTTTGACTTGACATACGGTAATTGACCCAATCGGTAAGCCCCTCCCCTCGAACGCAGATGAGTCAATGGCAGTTGAATATCAGTTGCACAGGGTCCGGAACTCGGACAACTTAAGGCTTTAGCGCCATAGAAACATTGGAAGATCGGAGGCTCTCATCGTTTTGATGGTGTTTATGCTACAAAAACGGTAATACGATATACTGTACCTGGGGTACTTGTAACATTGATTCCAGGTATGCCGAGAGGATGGGCTTGGGTATTCATGTTTTTAATTACCATACTGTGCGTCACGTTCACCAGCTTGTTTCAAAAGTGTGATATTTGCTCCAACGGACCAATTATCTGCGCAATATGACTGAAGCCGGCTAATTTATCATTGATGTGGGATGTTTTCTAAGGATTAAACCAAAATCCCAATGAAGATGAAAATGTTCATTTTCAGGTTGTCTCTCATTAAGTTGTAATTAAAGTTAGTGAGTCCATGCTAACGTACGAACTTAAAAAACTAACTAGTTTCACGTCATGCACAGTGTAGGTCAAAACTCAAAAACAAATGTTTACATTCCAGTGCCTCTCCATGTAAATTAATTTAATCTTACCCTGCCGTACATGACCAGTGTTGATCCTCGATGTTGTCACCTGCGATTGTAACGACTGTAACATGAGGCTTCTCCCGCTTGCATTGTGATTTCATTGCATTGTCAAAATTATTATAAATTTTAAATTATTATAATAATTATAAATTATTTCCAAATCAATCTTGTTACCGACTATATTTATTTAAAAAATCTTTTATATGCTCCTTGACAAGAGGTGGTCGTCCTGTGTCCAAAATGTATCAAAAACATCTTCAAGGTTTTGTAAGACAGTTAGCAATTCCGTTTGTTTGTCTGATAGACAGTAGCAACATTAGCTAAGGGGGGTTGGCTTACCGATTGGTCAATTGGATTATTTATACGTAGTAGTACATTGGATTTTATTTCCATATCACATCTATTGTTCCCAAAAGTTCCTTTTGAAAATCATTAGCAGTCTCTTGATATGAATGAACATTCACACCTTAACCCCAATTTCTATTAATAATTTCTTTGCAAAAAATCAAGGGTTAGGGCTGCAATGACACAAACCATGAGTCGTATTATGAGAATGTTCAGACATATGGATGCGCTTTTTCTTTTTCTACCATGCTTTTAGAGGGAAATGCCTTTTATCAGTGATTCAAGCTTCTCCATCTCTCAACTGAAGCTTTGAAGGAGACCTGACATGATACTTATCAGCAATAAAGAGAAAATGAACTACTAGACAGAACGCAAAGGGTACGCTGATATTTCTTGCTGGCACAGCTACAACCTCCAGAAGATATTTCTATTGTGAAAAGCTTTGATCTAGGTTTATCCAAACATCCTTGTTGATGGAACAATGTCATTCCACTGTAACGTGAATGTCTGAGACTCATTTTAGTTGTCTATGAATCAAGGCATTGTACTCTAGGTTTCACCAAAAGGCCCCAGCTTGCTTACTCATGAACATTTTTTTTTTACATCCAAAAGAGGTAATTAATTTTAATTGTTCAGTTTTCTTTGTTCATAAAATCATCAGGCATAAAAACAGTACAACATTTACAATCAGGTCTATGTAATGAGAAAAGTTTTTGAGATTGTGGTCAGGCACTAAATTCCTAAAAAATACTTTTATTCTTTCATTTGGTAGGATGGAAGCCCATAATGTGTGAAAATAACATTTTGATATAGAGGTCTGTTCTTATCTTTTGAACCAGAGACAACAGAAAAGTCAGATTTTTATGATGTTAACCTAATAGATATAACAGACTTGAAGTCCACTGCAACAATTTTTAAATAATGCCTGGAGCATTAAGACAGATTCTTATCTAGAACTATATTTCTGCTCTCTTGGTACAGATCATTTTACTTGTCATCCAATAAATTGTCTCTCTTATATTACTCAGAACCAAATTGAACATATCTACTTCCATTAGACGCACGGACAATTCACAAACTTCAAAGACGTGAGTGGGAGAATCTGTTGGCTTGTGGCGTAAAGACCGGGTCAAGAGCCCAAGCAAATATTTCTCTGAAGTTTTGCCTACACTGTTTAAACTCCCAAGTAGATGGATGATTGAATAAAGCAATTTTTTTAATTATTGGAAACCACACACACACTGGCCACAAAGTTGCTCCCTTCTGTCCTGTGCTAAAAATGTCAGTCTTATTTACATCCCACCAGCGGTTTGAGTCGTAAAGCAGAAATTAATTGATGATGCATCTCCATTTACAGAGCAGCTGGTCTGTTAGATTTGAGCTCCTGCTGTATGTTGGCCATGAGTGCGGTACTGATGTAGTTCCCCTCCAGGCTGAGGTGCTCAAGGGAACATTTTCCTCCAGAGCGCAGAGCCTCCAGGAGATAATGTCCTCCAACCTCACCAAAACCATTATTATCTAAGTCCACCTTCCGTAGAGTCTTATTTGATCTCAGTGCCTCAGAAAACAGCTTGATACCATTATCCCCAAGGCTGCTTTCATCTAAGATGATGTGTGTCAGTGAAGTGTTCACTTTTAGGCTTTCAAACAAGACTGTCCAAGCCTCCGTGTCTGAACATGATGTTTGTGCCAGGCCCAGATACTGAAGGTGGGAATGATACCTCATGAATGTGGCCAGCACCCTCAGGCCATCACTGCCAAAGCCATTTCCACCTATGTCTAACTCTTTGATCACAATGCTAACAGGAGAGAAGTGGATCTGGTCAGAGTTTCCATGCAGCTCTGCAGCTTTATTTTGAAGTTCAGCCAATCCACTGAGCAGGGTCTGCACTCCAAGATCGCCAAGTTGGTTTCCAAACAATCTTAAGAAGAAAGAAAAAGAAATTCCATCATTCATAATGATTTATAACAACCTTCAAGAGTTTCTTTATCAGAGCAGTCCTGTATAGTCAGCTTATTTTTAGACATATTTAGAATGTCTGCATGATACGTACAGTAGTTCTTTGATCTGTGGTTTGGCTTGCAGAAGGTCTAGTAAAACAGTGATTCCAGGGGGTCCGATTTGGTTCAGATTAAGGTTAATCACCGTGACTTCGGATGGGCTTCTCTTGAGAGCTGTTGCCAAACTCTTGAGCAGTTCATCAGTCAGACCTGTGTTTCTCAGTATTAGCTGCTCCACTTCATCAGAATTGTTCAACACCTCTGTCATGGCATCCATCTGAAGCAAAGAGCAATTTTTTTTTCTAATAATATATCCTCAGTTTACAGAATATCTAAATTTTTCTCTTGCTCATAAAAGTAATGTCAGTTTTGTATTATTTCATGAAGTGTCAAGAATTAAATGTAAAAAAAAATATTCAACATTGTGGTGAATAAATTGCATCTAGATTTCTAAGATAGAATTAATAGCATATTAAAGCTTTGGCTATCATTCACTGCCTTTGAGAAAACAAAAGCTCAGACGGGCTGATCTTGAATCTTGGCCATATGACGTCATACGGAGGAAAGATAACCTCTTTCTCTGCTTTGCCCGCCCAGAAAATTTGTCTTACTCTGGAGAAAGTGAGCTAGGAAGTACGAACGCGCGAGCACAATTTCAGTTTTTCCTCGAGCGTTATCATGGCTTGTAATTGTAAACGAGGGAAGCATGGTAGTTGATCAGTGTTCAGATGTACAAATGAACACAAAAATATTTTTTCAGTTCCTTCATCCGAGCCTCTGAAGAAACAATGGGTTAATTTTATTTTCTCTGGAAATGTGCAGACACAACTTCCCAAAGTTTTGTATGGTTTAAACATTTCACAGACGACTGTTTCCTTAACTTGGGCCAATACAGAGCTGGCCTCGATGAACTTCTGAGAATAAATCGATCAAGCTACCAAGCAACAATTTCTGATAGCCTAATTGTTCAAGTTCAGACAGGTACTTTCTCTCAAAATATCAACTTCAAAATATCAACTTCACATTGTTTATGTGATGGGAATAGATCTAAATACTTTTAAAACTTCTCATGATTCTTTAATCTCGATAGCTGTAATAGAAAAAAACGCATAATAGCTGAAATAAAAGTATTCGAGAGAGTTTCACATGGAAAATCTAGCTATTTCATATGCAAGCATGTTAGCCAATCACAGCAGTGGCCGGTTACACTGAATCCCACAGCAGACACGCCCCTTCAAACAGAGCATACAAATTAGAGGCTAAAATCTGGCTAGAAAAAATGCCTTTTATTTCTAAATTATGTTATAGCTGTATTTGGTTATCTGTAGAAATATCTGATGTATTATTTGGTTTGTAGACACATTATTTTAGCAATTCATCTTTATAGTTAGGATTACCTGTTTTTGTAAGTCTTGCTGCTTCTCATCCTCTGGACCTTCAAAAGAATTTGAAAATGTTATAACAGTCATACAGTATCTGTTTAAGAACTTTTACACACTGTGTACAGTGACATTCAGTGATATTCACTTTAAAGGGAACTTGCGCTGGGTCGAAACGCTGTGAGAATGCCTCTGTGTAATTGTGCTGTGAAGCACGTATGAAATCAGTCTAATGGTATAACGGACCATCATAGGCGAGTGACATCATCGACTAGGAAACTATAAAGCCTATAGCCAAACAAGGTTAGCTTCTGTGCCTTCAGCAAGTACTCTCGGAGAAACTTCATGTTTCTGGTGTTCTTGTCTGTCTTAGTATTCTAGGCAGAAGTTTTCACCATATGGAAAAAAAAACAAAAACTAACCTATGGGGTTTGAAAATAGATCAGGCAGAGGGGTTGGAGGCGGGCTTCACACTTTCTCTGCCCTCACCTGCCAGGTCCATTGTTTCATCTCAGGGTCAGGAAGCACGCTCTGCAACCCTGAGTGAAGCACCGGTACTACAACTATTCAGTTTTGAGGAGTTGGATGTTAGATGTATCGAGACAGGAGATACTGAGGGCTCATCACTTCAATCTTCTGCATGTGAGGAGCTAGTGGTTATTACTCGGGCCATGGCTAAACAAAAAAATTGACTGGCTGGCTGAGAAACAGGAGCTTTGTCATAAAAGCAAGTTATATGAACGCTTTCTGCCATCACAAAATAAACAACTTCCATGTCTGGGCTTACCGTTCTCTCCTGACCTCCACCTTGAGGTGTCGAGGTCATGGAAAAGACCGGTTTCTTATCGTGTCTACTGTTTAGCCCACAAACATCTACATACTCTTACATCTTAGGGCTAAAACTACACGGTTATGGGGCGATGCCCAGGGCTGAAATTACGCATTTTCAAGGCATCTCTCCCTTCAGTCTGCATCATCCCTCAAAGCCCTGACACAGTCTCGAGAGACTGGTTCCCTTAGTAGATTTTATGGGAGAGTGGGTACATCTGCCAAACATATCTCATTGGGTCCTTCAGACAGTCGTAAATGGCTACACTATTCAGTTCAGGTCTCGCCCACCCCGGTTCTGCGTTGTCCTACAGTAGTGCACCACTGTTAACACTGTTATCGAGCAGGCTCTGGTAATGGAACAGGAAGAGGAAGGAACAGAAAGAGGAAGGAACAGGAAGTAAAAGCTCTTCTATGAAAGTAGGCTATAGAACAGGTTCATCCTTCCAGCATGGAGTCCGTTTTTTACAGCTGGTACTTTATTGTTCCGAATAAGGATGGGAAGTTGCGTCCGATTCTATATCTGAGCCAACTAAATCACTCTGTATGTAAGCTCAAATTTAGGATGCTCACTGTGAAATCGTGTCACAAAACAGGTCCGAGGACTGGTTTGTCACGATTGATCTCAAGGACTCATACTTCTACGTATCTATCCTTTTATAACGCAGGAAGTTTCTAAGGTTCACTTTTGGGGACAAAGCGTACCAATACAGAGTTCTTCCTTTCCGCCTAGCTTTGTCACCTCACACTTTCACAAAGTATGTGGATGCAGCTCTAGCTCCCCATGTGACACCAGGGCATCCACATACTAAATTGCATTGCTGATTGGTTGATTCCAGCTCAATCGGAGCAGCTGGCGGTTCAGCATGAGATGTCGTTCTCGCCCACATGAGAAAGTTGGGGTTGAGGCTGAACGCCAAGAAGAGTGTGCTTTCCCCAGCACAGAAGACTGGGTCATGGCCCCTTATACATTCTAGCTCACCAGATCCTCATGTGGGCCCAAGGAAAACTGCTCTCTCTGAAGGCAGTTTACATCCCGGTGTATTTAAATTAGGGAGCAGATATCCTGTCTAGGCAGGACGTGGTAGAGCTCCTGTGGGAGAATGTCGGCCTAGTAAAAGTATTTGTATTTCCATCTCTAGATGACACATTGTCCACTGTGGTTCTCCCTCACTCATCCTGCTCCTCTTGGACTGGACGCTATGGTACAGACATGGCCAAGGCTGTATGCCTTTCCCCTGATCGTTCTGCTCCTAAAGTATTCTAAAGAGAGTTCGCATGGTCTTTATTAGAGTCTTTATTCTACAACGTATTAGTAGCCCGAATGGCCGGCCTGATTGTGGTTCTCTGACCAGGTATCTCTCCTTGACGGCTCTCCGCTGGAGATTCTGCCCAGGGGGGACCTTCTTTTTCAGGTGAATGGGTTGATACTTCACCCCCGTCCAGAGTTGTGGAAGCTGTGGGCTTGGCCTCTGAGGAGTGCCGTAAGCCGTAAGCTACACCAAAAAATATTAAGATTTATAAAACTGTTTGTACGCCAGAACCTGCGCAGAATTCACTTTATAAATCCCAGTCAGCCGAAGATTGTGCGCACACTCCATTAATGAGAATGGCACATTTAATCTAAATGTTTATATCAGATGTAAAACATAGTTTAAATCATTCTTTCATTTATTTAAACTGTTATTGAGAACATGCACCGTATTTATTAGGACTCATGAAGTTTTACTTAATCTGCCGTTAGATTATAGGCTATATGTCCATCAGTTTCACTAAACGGCCCAATGCGCTGAAGGGATGGATATTGGCTTCAAGTGATAGGCTTGGTGAGTGAAATTATATTTGTAGGCTAGTATCTTTCTGTAGCCTATAGGCTATAATTAATTTAACTCCAGCTCACCATCAGTATCACCAATTCCCTTTGTCTCCAGAATGTGTGTACGCACGGCTCAAAGTTTGCTTAAAGTTGCGTGCATTCTCCCGTCAAGTTCATTTTTTATAGATCACAACCTTTGCGTGGAAACTGGTGTACGTAAACTTCCAGCCCCGTTTTGTGCGTACGCATGCTTTATAAATGAGACCCCTGACTTTTGACCTTTTTATATCAGTGAACTCATTGTCATGTTCAAGAAACCATTTGAAATGATTTGAGCTTTGTGACATGGTGCATTATCCTCCTGGAAGTAGCCATCAGAGGATGGGTACATGGTCACCATAAAGGGATGGACATGGTCAGAAACAATGCTCAGGTAGGCCGTGGCATTTAAAAGATGCCCTATTGGCACTAAGGGGCCTAAAGTGTGCCAGAAGTGTGCCCCATCACACACCATTACACCACCACCACCAGCCTGCACAGTGGTAACAAGGCATGATGGATCCATGTTCTCTTTCTGTTTACGCCAAATTATGAAATCGAGAATCATCAGACCAGGCTACATTTTTCCTGTCTTCAACTGTCCAATTTTTGTCAGATTTTGCAAATTGTAGCCTCTTTTTCCCATTTGTAGTGGAGATGAGTGGTACCCGGTGGGGTTTCTGCTGTTTTAGCCCATCCGCCTCAAGGTTGTGCGTGTTGTGGCTTCACAAATGCTTTGCTGCATATCTTGGTTGCAACGATGGGTTATTTCAGTCAAAGTTGCTCTTCTATCAGCTTGAATCAATAGGCCCATTCTCCTCTGACCTCAACAAGGCATTTTCGCCCACAGGACTATTGCATACTGGATGTTTTTCCCTTTTCACACCATTCTTTGTAAACCCTAGAAATGGTTGTGTGTGAAAATCCCAGTAACTGAGCAGATTGTGAAATACTCAGACCGGGCCGTCTGGCACGAACAACCAAGCCACGCTCAAAATTGCTGAAATCACCTTTCTTTCCCATTCTGACATTCAGTTTGGAGTTCAGGAGATTGACTTGACCAGGACCACACCTCTAAATGCATTGAAGCAACTGCCATGTGATAAGTTGATTAGACAATTGTATTAGTGAGAAATTGAACAGGTGTTCCTAATCCTTTAGGTGAGTGTAAATTGTAATACTATTTTACAATATTACTGTTTTACTGTGTTTTCAATCAAATAAATGCAGCCTTGTTGAGCATAAGAGAATTCTTTCAGAAACATTAAAAATTCTGCAAACCTTTGAAGATAATGTAGAAGATATTAGTCATAAAACAATGCCATATTGTAAAGTGTGATCTTCTTAGTTGTACCAACCTTGTTTGCTATTGATTTTAGGTTTCCTTGCTTCTGTGACACTGCTGTCACTTTCCTCACTAAGCTCCACCTCTGATGCCGAGCCATTGGCAGGGAGTCCTGAAGTGAGCTGCTCTTTGATTTTATTCCTCTCAAACTCTAGCAGATAATACAAAATACAAAAAACTATTTCACGTTTCATTATGACAGGTTTTGATAATTGTTTAGCCTATCCTTTCTTGATCGTGTCTGATTTAAAAAAGAATGTGTCTATATATATGTCTATATTTTGCCAATATGTCATCTATGTTATCTGGTACTATGAATAAACATGTTGTGGGTCTTTTTAATGTGAAGCAGTTGTTTTTGTACTTATACCAGACTTATTAGGTTGATATGAACTTATTTCTTATGATCTTATCTTTTGGTTTGTGTCCATCAAGATCCAAATAAAAAAGAAAATAGTGAAATAAGAGAAATCATATTTTAGTTTATGCTCAGTTTATCTTTATGATTTTGTAATAGTATCTAAAACATTTTGGGGAAATAACGTAATATTCGTCTCTCTTTATTTTTTTTCCTTAACCATAATATGAATTTATTCATTACTCGAATATAAGATTTTAGCCAGCACTACACATACATGTAATACTCAACTCATTAATATAAGTAAACACAATAAAAAGTCTAAAGTGGTCTTTCTTTTTGGTCCTTGTCCTAAATTGAGTAGCCCGTCAGTAGAGTAATGGGACCAGTGCTTGTGGCCTTAAAACTTTACACTATCCTATCTTGGTATATGTTTAGAAATCACTTTTGTCATAACCTTTAAGGTAAAATGATTGACTCTCTCTAAATCAGGCTAAAAGTCTCAGGGGAAACCCTGTCTATGAGCAATGAGCCACAGTTCTTGACTCACTGTTTACTTTGAACCACCTCTGTTGGTCTAGGCCTGATTCCAGACCAGTGCTCATTTCAACACATTCTTCATAGAAGTCCCTCAGTCTTCCCCTGTTCCTGCTTTTTCCATTCAACTTCGAAGGATCCATAGTTTTCTCCCCATCACGCTTAGTCAGAGTTTTTCCTTCCTGCAATGAATCTTAAGAAATGCAACTGTCCTGAATCTTGATAGTGCTGTCTTTAAAATAAAATACAACCAAGTGATTTACAGCAAAAGCCTTTCACGAGACAACTTCAAAGTTTTACATTCTGCTGGCAAGCAACTCTATCCAATGGCCTTATCCTCTCACAGGCACAATAAAGAGTGGACCTGGCACTCACCTGGCACTTTAATTTTATTTTCGGTCACTTTCATATTTTCTTTTGCTGATGTTTGCAGTTGTTCTTTGGTGTTGGAAAGTGGTTTGTCTTCGAGTTCATTTCCATCTTTATGTGGTTGCGATTCCTCCAAACCTTGGCCCTCTCCCCACTGACTACGTGTTTTTTTAGGCCGTTTGTGATGTCTTCTTTCTTTCACGCTGCCATTCATGTCTTCACTATCAGTTGACAAAACACTGCCATCTTTTGAGTGCTTTCTGGCCTTATGCACAGATCTTTCCATTCCAAGAGGGATGAACAAAGGGGAAGAAGGGCACAAATCCATAACACCTGCACAGAAGGCATGATTACAGTGAGCAATTCAGTAAATAATGCACCCTGGTTCATTACTTTGAAGAATGCCAGAGGGGAAAATGTAACCGTAGCAGCATTAAGACCAACCATCATTAGAATTGATGGTTTTTGTTAAGGTCGGTGCTGGACTATCGATTGCTGGGGTGCCAATACCATGCCTTGAATTCACACATCTGTAAAAGCAGGAAATGTTTACAATTACAACATATTTGGTCTTGCCAAAAAGTTTTGCACGCAATCCTATCTCACTTGTAGCAGGGTTTCCCTCCATTTAGACGGGTCAGTCTAAAGCAGCTCCTGCGGCCTTGCTGAAAGCCAGGGGTGTATCTGTATTCACAGCATGAACTGATCCTGGCTGCCATGATTCCATTCACAAAGATAGTAGCACTGAAGGGGAAGCCCAGATGTCTCTGGGATGTGAACTGAATCTGCTCTAGAGGTATAAAGTTATTCACAATACTTTTTAAACTTTGTAAACACTCATTTATTTAAACATTTTAATTTAATATTTATTTAAACATGTAATTTATTTTAGTTGTATAATAAATATTTCAGATCTATCGGGTTAAGTAAAAAATATGATTACTTATCTTGTTTTTAGCTTACAGGACAAGTAATTGTACTGTAATTGTACATTTGTGCTTTTTGTTACTCTATTATGATATGTTTAGTGTTTACTATATTTTATTACATAATTACATTATTAATATCTTGTATTAGTTAGTTCAGCATAATACGCTTTTTGATTATACATAGTGCTGATATGCATAATGCTTTCTTTGTATTTCTTTTTTCCCCTTTAGTTAACAAGTAAAACAATTGCTTACTGTATACGTGGTCAGAATGTAAATTTGAGAAATAGCTTCTTAGATCATATAATTTTTTTTTCTTGGCTGAAGATCTCAAGCGGTGTATTCAGTGTGGTAACAGGATAAGGAGCTTTACCCCCTGGTTGGACAAATCCTTTAAACACACAGATGTTCTCCCCTCCACAAATCTGCTGAAGCACTTTCATCTCATCCCGCGTGTTTCCAGGAAGCCCCTGCCCCATGTATGTCATCGTCACAATCACATTTGACTTTTTGGACTCCTTCTGTGCTTTGAGGTAACTCTGGAAGACAGAATTCGACTCATCATGTAACTATTTCAGAAGCCAGTAAAGTGACAGGCATGTTTAACAATTACTGTGGTGAAGATGCCCTGAAACATTTTTTTTTTCTAAAGCAAAGAGACTGATAGACGGGCCATCGGGATATAACTCATCACTTATAACAAAGCTGCTGTGTCAAATCTCTCAACAAAGTCAGAGACGGCTCACCTGCTTGAAGTCAGGAGCTCTTTGTGAGTTTATGGAGGAAGTGGAGCCGCGGCGTCTGCTAGTGCTGAGATAAGGACATGAGTGACTGAGTTTGGCGCTTGCTGCCTGCAGGTTTGACATCGTTCCTGTGATAGCAGGAAGGTACAAGTCACTCAACCGTCCTCTGATTCCTGGCTGGCTTGACTTGTTGGTCTGCCCAGAATAAAGCAAAGAATTTCAACGACAAAAAAGACTTATTTTGTTCACTTGGTACTTGTCAAATGAATGGTGTGAATCAACATGCAGGTCCTGTATCTTGAGTTACTTTGTAAATTTCCACAGCATTGTTTCCATCCAACAGAATGAGGCTGCCTTTACGTGTGAAAAGGCTATCCAGAGAATTACGCCATGTGGGAGTCAGAGGTCTCTCACCCCTACGACCTCGAGAACGAGTCTGCTGTCAAATACAAGAACAGGTTAGTTCTCTTACGAGAGGTTCTCTCATACCAGTGTTTCCCAACCCTGTTCCTGGCGGCACACCAACACTGCGTGTATTCTTTGTCTCCCTTATCAAACACACCTGATTCAACCCATCAGCTCATAATCAGGTGGGTTAATGAGCTGATGGGTTGAATCGGGTGTGTTTGATTAGGGAGACAAAGAAAACACGCAGTGTTGGTGTGCCGCCAGGAACAGGGTTGGGAAACACTGTCTCATACTGTGTAATATATTACGCTAGAGGAAAACCTCTTTTCCACGATATATTGCAGCCAAAAATTGTCCTTAATTTTGAATTAATGTAAAACACGTTGCATCAGCATGCAGACATAGGCAAGATGGCTTGCATGCCTATTGGCTGTCTTGCGGCAACTGCAGCAGCCTATCGAGGGAGGCCCTTCGAAACGGGCATGGCCTGACGTTTGTGCTGACAAAACGGATGTGGCCTGTGCCTATAAATACAGCTCAATGGGTGGATATAATCAGATTTTTCGTCTCTTCTGCAAAGCTCACGCATCGCTGGATCCGGAGTGAAGAAGCCATCTGAGAAAAAGACTTCTTCGGGATGAGCCTTTGCATCTGAAGCTGCTGGCCTTCATCTCACCGCCTTCAGCCGCCATACCTGATACACTTTTCGCAGCCGCGACTCACACAACCATAGTCAGCGGGTCCAGCCTGCGAAACCTCGCCGGTTCGCCCACCAGCTTCACTCGAGGCGCTCACCGACAAACAACGTCCACCTCCGCTTTCGCCATTGATAACGACGAGATAGTTGCATCTGTAGAGGAGGCCAGCTGCTCTATCATGGCGTCAGACAGTGAGGATTGGGCGAGCTCTGTGGACCTCCCCCCCAGCCCGTGTGTCATCAGGGAAACGGGCCAGCATCGAATCCAAGCTGATGCGTCTGCTTACACAGAGTGGGCGGCGCCGCACACAACCGGCTGGATAGATGTTTCCTGCAATGGGACAGTGATCCACCGTCTTCTTGGCGAAGTCTTTTAACGCCACCTTCTCAGCCAGAGTGTGTACCTCTGTCTCAGCAGAATTCTCCGTGGTGGACGGTGCTGAAGAGAGAGAATACCTCTCCCTTCCTCCAGTTGAAGAACTTGTAAAGGCCGTAAAAAAAAAGCTTACCACCGGTGGGCAGGCTGTATTGGCATTGCACTTGATGGCTGTACCGCAGATCTTCCAAGCCGACCTTCTCCGAAAACTGGATGAGGAAGGACCGGAAGCTGTCAGCTTGCCGGATTTGAGGAGCGTTACGTACCTGGCTCTCTGAGGTGCGAAATCTGCTGCACAGGCCATTGGGCGGAACATGTTTTCTCTCACAATTGCTGAGAGACACTTATGGCTGACGTTATCTGAGATGCCGGACTCGGAGCGCTCCGCATTCCTCGATGCACCCATCTCCCCAGCTGGCCTCTTTGGATCATCCATCAAAGATTTTGCGGATAGATTTGCTGAGGTTCAGAAGACGTCACAGGCTATGAAGCACTTTTTACCGAAGCCCTCTAGCTTCGTATCAGGTTGCCCAAAACAGCCGTCTGCTCAAAGCTTCCAGCCAGAGCCTCCGCCTACTTTAAGCCTAGGAAAACGACAGTGTTTAATTCTAACTGTGGCCAGACTTCCACTGGAACTTTTCGCTTGTTCAGTTCCAGAAAATGCGACTGTTTCTGTGTATTTTGCAGTAAACAAGCTGGTACCATTGCTGTGTGCTTGCCTGCACACAAATGCCATTTTCACGGCGACCCAGATAAATAACATAAAGAATTTAATTTTCTGTTATGTGGCGGTAGGTTGAAACTATAGTAAAATTAGAAGTAGCTCATCTACTTCCAGCCGAAATAGCAAAACTATTGAGAAAAGGGGCCATAGAGCTTTTATCTCAGGCACAGAGTGAAGGGGGTCTATTCAGCAGAAATTTTCTGGTACCGAAAAAAGATGGGGGTCTCAGACCCATTTTAGATTTAAGGCTGCTGAACAAAGTGCTTGTGAAATGCCAGTTCAGAATGCTCACAACCAGGAAAATCCAAGCACAGATTTGCCAAGAGGACTGGTTTGTCAATAGATCTGAAGGACGCATATTTTCAAATACAAATAGCGTCATGTCACAGGCGATTCTTGAGATTCGCCTTCGAGCGCCAGGTATGTACATTTGTACAGGGCCAGTCCTACTGTTTGGCATGTACTGTACATTTACAATGTGCATGGACACAGCTTTTGCACCCTTGAAACTTGGGGGCATGTGAGTTTTTAACTACTTGGACGATTGGTTGATTCTAGGTCGATCACACTCAGAGCTCATAGAACACAGGAGCATATTATTTAAGCATCTCAAGAATCTAGATCTCAAAGTCAATTGGGCGAAAAGTTTGCCTTGTCTCCCAGTGGGAGAATATCTTTTCTGAGCACAGAACTGGACTCGTTGTCTATGACAACACGACTGCCGCCAGAGCGCAGACTGAATATTCAGCGCATCACAAAATCCTTCTGCTGCGGCACTATAGTCCAGCTCAAAAGGTTTCAGAAAATGCTGGGTCTCATGGCCTCAGCATCATCAGTACTCCAGTTGAGTCTGCTTCGCATGCGTCTGCATTCTTTCCTTCTTTCAAGAGCTACTGGATAAGGGCAGAACCCCATCCACGCTCAAGGTTTATGTGGCGGCCATGGCAGCATTTACTCAGCCAGCGACTGGCCAGTCACTGGGGAAGAACAATCTTGTCACCCGCTTCCTTAAGGGAGCTAAGAGGCTGAATCCTCCCAGACCCCCTTCAGTCCCCATGTGGGACCTTTCGACAGTTTTGGAAGCCATGAAAGGTGCCCTGTTCAAGCCAATCCATTTATCAGACATGAAACATTTGTTGTTTAAGACAGTGTTTTTTATGGCTCTTGTTTCAGTGAAGCACATCGGGAATTTACAAGCGCTCTCTGTAAGCGTGACGTGTATGGAATTTGGGACAAATAACTCAAAAGTCATACTCAAACCAAGACACAGGTACGTGCCTAAATCTCTCAACACACCATTCATGACCGTCCTGTCTGTCTGGAGATTTAAGAGCTTATGAGCCCTATTTTAATGATTTGAAACGCCAGTAAAGTAACTTTGTAGGCGGGTCCCGGCGCTGTTGCTATTTTCCCGGCGGGATAAATGCCTCTTGCGCCTGGCGCAATTCTAAAAGGGGTTGGTCTGAAGTAGCTTCATTATTCATAGGTGTGGTTTGGGCGTAACGTGAAATGAATCAATCAGAGCGCCATCCAACATACCCTTTAAGATCAGGTGCGCATGTTGCATGACGGATTGTTATTATAACGGCGGGTTTACCAGGTACGTGTCACAGTCCTCCGTCTGCACCAGTCTGTCTTGTCTTCAGCACTACACTTCCCAGGATCCTCTCGTCACCCTATCCCGTGTTCACTCCCTCATCAGCCACCTGTTCCTCGTCATCGTCATCTGTTTCACCTGTTCTCACCCCATTATGTTTGATTATTCTGTGTATTTAGTTCCCTCTGTTTTACTCAATGGTTGTCGGTCGATGTCGAATGTTACCCCGTGTTATCCTGTATCCTTGCCTGTATCCTGAATTAAATGTTACCTTCCGTGTGAATCTCTGGACTCCTCCTATTCCTTCCGTCTGCACTCCTGTTCTCCTGCACCATACCCCGTGACAGATCGACCGACCACCTAAAGCAACATGGACGCCGGGAGCTTCCAGGGGATTCTACCCCCGATCCGCCGGCCCCGTTGGATACTTGTCCCCAGAAAGCCTGCGCTCACCGTCAGCCCTGCCGAGCCTGCGCTCACCGTCAGCCCTGCCGAGCCTGCGCGCACCGTCAGTCCTGCCGAGCCTGCGCGCACCGTCAGCCCTGCCGAGCCTGCGCTCACAGTCAGCCCTGCCGAGCCCGAGTCTTCACCGCTGGCTCCGTCCAGCTCTCCAGAGACTGAATGCTCTTCCCCGCTGGTTCCGTCCAGCTCTCCAGAGATTGAATGCTCTTCACCGCTGGTTCCGTCCAGCTCTCCAGAGATTGAATGTTCTTCACCGCTGGTTCCGTCCAGCTCTCCACGTCCAGCTCTCCAGAGTCTGAATGCTCTTCGCCGCTGGTCCCGTCCAGCTCTCCAGAGATTGAATGCTCTTCACCGCTGGTTCCGTCCAGCTCTCCAGAGTCTGAATGCTCTTCGCCGCTGGTCCCGTCCAGCTCTCCAGAGATTGAATGCTCTTCACCGCTGGTTCCGTCCAGCTCTCCAGAGATTGAATGCTCTTCACCGCTGGTTCCGTCCAGCTCTCCAGAGATTGAATGCTCTTCACCGCTGGTTCCGTCCAGCTCTCCAGAGATTGAATGCTCTTCACCGCTGGTTCCGTCCAGCTCTCCAGAGATTGAATGCTCTTCACCGCTGGTTCCGTCCAGCTCTCCAGAGATTGAATGCTCTTCACCGCTGGTTCCGTCCAGCTCTCCAGAGATTGAATGCTCTTCACCGCTGGTTCCGTCCAGCTCACCAGAGAATGAATGCTCTTCACTGCTGGTTCCGTCCAGCTCACCAGAGAATGAATGCTCTTCACCGCTGGTTCCGTCCAGCTCTCCAGAGATTGAATGCTCTTCACCGCTGGTTCCGTCCAGCTCTCCAGAGATTGAATGCTCTTCACCGCTGGTTCCGTCCAGCTCTCCAGAGATTGAATGCTCTTCACCGCTGGTTCCGTCCAGCTCACCAGAGAATGAATGCTCTTCACTGCTGGTTCCGTCCAGCTCACCAGAGAATGAATGCTCTTCACTGCTGGTTCCGTCCAGCCCACCAGAGACTGAATGCTCTTCACTGCTGGTTCCGTCCAGCTCACCAGAGACTGAATGCTCTTCACTGCTGGTTCCGTCCAGCTCACCAGAGAATGAATGCTCTTCACTGCTGGTTCCGTCCAGATCACCAGAGAATGAATGCTCTTCACTGCTGGTTCCGTCCAGCCATCCAGA